GAGGCTATTCCATCAGTATCAATTTTTTAAAGTAATATATACAAAAATGTATGATACCAAACAATATTTCTTTGCAGTGACATGCTTATAATTACATTATACAATGTAATTATGTAGTGATTGCTTCTTGAGAGCACAAATACAACTTTTAAATCAGTGCTGGAATTTACTTGCAACTTTCAGCTGATTTTTAGCTTAGTTCTTGTCCTTTACCTGGGTACAGTTCTAAATTCCAATCGGCTGAAAGTTGCAAATAAATTCCAGAACTGCTTCATGTGCTGTTCAGAAACAAACAATAGGGAGTTTTTAACGTGAATCCAAATACGGTGAACTGACCTTAGCATTCACCGTATTTGGATAAACGGCATTCCAAAAACTCTATTATTACGAGAAGTCAATGAAGCTTTGCTTTACCCTATATCCAACCGAGTGAGTTTATAATTATAAATCAAATCATAATCTGATAAGAAAATATAAGTATGGAAAAAATATAAATGTAATATTTCTATCATTTATTGACTCAATTATTCATAAGCCAATATAATACATATATCTTATAATACATGTTATAAAGAATGCTAATGTGAAGCATAATTATTACCATCTAGAATTATTACCATCGGGCATTACTTCTTATTCTTCGTAACCATCGGGCAAAGCATTCATTTTAGGATTATGAAAAAGGCTGTGATTACCATCTCCCCATGGAAATTTCTAAACATAATTATTAAAAAATGGATATTTCTAAACATATTAAAAAATAATATTAATTATAAAAGAAGTAAAAAAGGGCTGTATCTTAAAAGTTCATATCAATTTCTTGCACTATATACACATATATATGCATATTTTGATACCTTGGTTCTTATCCTTAAGTGTGGGTATGCAACAAATTCTGGACGTTCATCATTATGATGTGCCTGATGATTCAAATAGCTATTAACCATAGCCAGAAGTATCACTGGAAAGCCTACGAAATACGAGAGCCTCTTCCACATCAATTGCGTTTGTTCTGTAAAGTACACAGCGTTACCATTATGTAATGTTCATTGATAATATATTTGACATTCTCCATACATTTTCTTTTCATCTATAAAACATTGTATGCTACTATAACATTATTTAAATATAAAGATACTTCGCACTTAAATCTTAATTAATAACAATAAATTTGACAAAAATGGCACTTTGTTGTAAAAAATATTCGTCAAATATGTCGTATGCGACATTGTGCATACAAATACCATTGTATTCAAATATGTAAATAATATATTAAAATTATCAATATTTCTCATTTATATTCACCTGTAACGCCATGAGTATCATTTAAGTTGAATTTAGGACCGGCCGTCGAATATTTTCTGGAAAAGGGGCGAGCGAACTTCGTCCAAGAAGCCATTTTTATTCTTCTACTCAGCTATGCTCAGCTGCTCTTACTTTGGCCAGAGAGAAACCTGAGAGAGGCCATGCCCACTTTTTCCTGTTATCGTCGACGTCCATACACTACCGCCAGTATGTACATACATCCATTTTCGATTTGTGAACTATGCAACTACGTTCATTTTCTGACACTGTCGATAAAATCGTATCGTCGGAAGTGAATATGGTTCGTATTTGTACTACATCTACAGAATAGAAACGGGTTACGTGACATTTTCTCGAAAAACTAGACTGGAAAATGTTGGTACTAATAAAAACCCCTAGGCAACACGATTTTAATTTGTACGGATTTGTAACACTGTTGAAATACTAAGTCCATAAGTTTGTCCATAAGGGTCTCCGTACAATAAAACGAACAGGGAACAGGGAACAAGAATTTTAAATCATTTTCTATCAGAAATCATGTATTGTGGAATACACAGTTTCTGATAAATTGAACTTCTTATTCTCTATTCTCTTATTTCCCTATTCCTTTTATTGTGCAAAGCCTCTAAGTCCATAACCACAAACTTATGGACTTACTACTTCAACAGAACCTAGTTTTCATCGAGGATTTAATCCGGATCAGAATGTAAAAACCAACCAACTACAGTCGAGTATTCTCCTGTTACAGTCAAACGACAAGGGAATGCTCGACTGTAGTTGGTTGGTTTTTATATTATGATTTGGATTAAACCCTCGATGGAAACTAGGCCATTGACTTAGCTGTCTTTTTCCATCATGTTGCATCTGTAAATACGAATCTTTAAACTTGGTACTCCTTGCTACTGCTTGATACTCTTGTTGACTGTCGATTAGTGGACGTTTGATTATCAAAAATATTTTGTTACTCTACGAAAGCTTCAGTAGACAAATTAATTCGCCAAAATGACTATGGCAATGTTGCAACGTCGCGCCAATGTAAATATATAGGATAATTTACGCGATATCGACAGACTATGATCTCAATACTAACTTTAACCTAACTGTGTATTATTATTTCGTGATAAATGAAATTTTTATTTCAGGTAAGGCTGCCACCCGAAGTAAATAGAGTATTATACATTAGGAATTTACCATACAAAATCACAGCTGAAGAAATGTACGATATATTTGGCAAATATGGAGCTATCAGACAAATTAGAGTGTAAGTATTGTGTTATAATTGACTCGGTTAAAATAAAGTTTTAGAAAAATTCGGGCGATTGAGAGCAATAATAGCACAGTAATTGCTGCGTTTGATCTTAACAGTAGTATATTTCCTTTTTTATATTATAAATCGATCGTTTTATAAGAAAGAATAAAACGATTGATTTATGATATAAGAAAGGAAATGTACTATTAAGATCAAATGTATCAATTACTGCACTATTATTGCTCTCAATCGCTCGGATTTTTCTAATTAATATTTGTTTATTGTTTAGAGAGCTCAATTTAGATTATTATTCTGTTTTTTTTAAATAAAGTCTCTCTCTCTCTCTATGATAGTTTAATTAAATTTTGATTCTTGTTTTAGAGGTAACACAGCAGAGACCAGAGGCACAGCCTTTGTTGTGTATGAAGATATATTTGATGCGAAGAATGCATGTGACCACTTGAGTGGTTTCAATGTATGCAATCGTTATTTGGTGGTTCTATATTATCAGAGCAATAAAGCATTTAAGCGAATTGACGTTGATAAAAAAATGGAGGATCTAGATAAATTGAAGACAAAATATAATTTAAATGATGAAAAAAAGTAGTTTGTTAATATTTATAAGAAATATGGAATTGTGGAGCTTACAAAATATTTATTAAAATACAGGATGTATGGTAAGTTTTGACAAAATGCTCGTATGGAGATAGAACAGACTAAATTAAGTTGAAAAGTCCTCATTTTGCTATTTACATAACTTTCTTTTTAATTATCCGATAACTAGAATATTAAAAATCGATATATAAAACGACTTTAAGATACCTTTAAGAATTCTTTAAGAAACATCTTTAAAATATTTTATGAAGAATTCTAAAAGAAATCATAAAGTTGACTTATGCACTGACTTTATCTACTTATTCAACAATCTTTAGAAATTATCTTGTTGACTATTGTGAAAATTGCAAAATGGTTGAGAAATGTTTTTGATTCAGTTTAGTTTGTCTTATCTACACACGAGTGTTTTGTCAAAACCTACCGGACACCTTGTATAATTATATCAATAGTTTATTAATTTTTATATTGTATCAATTAGATATATAATACTTAAGATATGTGAGAAATATCAACTTTAAGTAATGCGAATAAAACTTGTATTTTATATGATACAAATAAATTTGTATATAATTTCCTATAGTTCTTGGCATAATTTTCTTTGCGCTGATTCAGTTTTTATATTTTACAAATATTTCATTTATTTATTAATTCAGTAATAATGTTTTGTAATTTATTTTATCCTTGCTGGTATAAGACAGGTTACATTTTCGAACCTTCTCCAAAAAAACATAGAAAAACCTGATCGAAAAAATGTCGGCGCATTAAAAAGTCGCAATTAATACTATTTTCACAGTCGGTTGCGGAGTGGCATTCCTGCGCTTTCAGGGACTCGAGCACTTGAGAGGATGATATAGCTATAGCGAAATTAAAGCACCACTCACACTGTTTCTTGTAAATGACATATCGTAATATATTGGAATGAAATTTTTAATTTAACTTAGAAGTGACGAATTTTGTTTCATGTTTTTAATAGCCATCTGTTTTATTATTAATTGTAGCCGATGATTGCGATATATTAATTGATTTTAAAGCCATTTTTTTTTCAAACTTGCGAAATTTCACATCAACGCAAAGATATTCATAATAAAATTTTTACAAAATGAAAAATAAAAGAGTTTTTTCGTTGACACGTTTATTACGTGAACAGTTTTTTTTT